GGCTCTGCCGCTGTCAATGTTCCCTCGTCCTGCAAGAAGAATGTCACTTAGAGAATAACGACAACTCATCTTCAGAATCAATTAACGGAAATTCAGTCTCACTGGTTTGGGAGTCGGCTCAGCTGCTGTCAAGGTGCCTTCATCCTGTAAGAAGAAATTCATAATGACTAAGGCCACATTCTTCTATAGCTGCAATTCGATGAGAAGGGGGGGGGTTGTAGGTGCTCTTGAGACTCAGGGTTAATCTTAACCCTTTCAAGCCGAACATTCGGTGGTTCACCGTAGGACTATGTGAACGGAAAAAGTTATAGGAGTTGAGAGTTGTTATAGGAAAGTGCAAGAGAGGGAGAGAGATCACAAAGTTTATCTCGTCACACAACAAGCAACAGTCAAAAGACAGAATGAGTACGATTGTTCTCGCTACTACAACGGTATGCCCCGCCCCGGACAGTTGGCGAAGGGGCATCGTCGGCGACCCTTGAAAGAGTTCCAGAATAGGCGCGCTGGAGGAAGCGCTATTCTCTCCGTTTTCGGTACTGACCCTATCTTCGTCTGGTACAGTATGAACTACGTGGTTCATCTGATTCGTTATTTTCAATTTGTGCTTTTTGTGTGATGTACCCAAGTTTGACATTCATTCTGTCCCTGGCGCACTTTGCTTCATCGAGTCGTGCTGTTAGCATGTAACTTAGGTCCTCCGACTCTGCTATTATCAAGTTCAGGCTTGATTCCTCTTCTATCTGCTCGATTTCGGCGGCTAAATCCTTTTTTCCGATATTGTTTTGCAGGTTTTGAGCTCCATTCTAATCTCTGCGTAAAGATTATCTAGCTTTTCTCGCCCATTTTTGACTTGCTGTAGGCCACTCTGTAGTAGAGCGATCTACAGTTCTCATCATTGCGGACCGGTGGGGGCGTATCAGCCAGAAGGAGTGCGCACACGTTGCCTTGCAAGCAGTGCTCAGCCTTTTTGTTGCACCAGCGCGCTAGTGCGACAAAAAGTGGCTTAGGAAAACGAGCCTGGATACGAAGGACCTAAGTATAATACAGTAATCACTTGCGCCGCGTTTCAAAAAACTGCCGTGCACACAAACTGTTGCCAACCGCGACCAAACGCAGCCGCGACTGCCACGCCCCACCGAGTCCGCATGATGAGGACTGTAGATCTGCACTTTCATAGATCGTCTGTCTTTTGAGTGTGGACTCCTTTTGTAGCGGAAGTACTAAACTTTTTAGCAGATACAATAGCCAGCTTATGAACTGCAGCGCATAAATCATCTACTTGGTTTGGTATTCAGTCCTCCTTTATTTGAATTATCCGATTTAGCTAAACTAGTAGCTGATTTGAGACTGGTACGGGAGGCTTTATGAATCAATTGATCTTTAGGCTCTTGGGAATTGACCAAATGTGAAGTTGCTCAAGGAACTAGTCTCTTCTCCTAGCCCCAAAACGGAGTGGCTTATTCGGGCCGATGCACCAGACTCCACCAGCCCGCGTAGCGTGCTTTGAGACTTAGGGTTAATTCTTACTCTTTCGAGCGAATATTCGTGTTCACGTGAGTTGTGATAGCGAAAGCAGCGAGGGAGGGGAGACCGAGCAGCGCCACATGGTGACGAGAGTATCTCGTCACACAACAGCAACAGTTAAAGACAGAATGAGTACGATTGTTCTCCCTACAACGGTATGCCCCGCCCCCAACAGTTGGCGAAGGCGCCATCATCCGCCGACGATGATAGGAGGAGGGGTGGAAGCTATGTGTCTGCGTTGTTATCACACTTGTATGGACGCATTGGGGTATATTTTGAGATTGTTCATGGATTTGCTGACAGATTTGTGCGCTTGTACGTGGCAGAACTGAATTGCCCTTCGTATGATCGATTTCGCTGAAATATTTGACGAAGGATAGCGCCCTCTTTGGGAAAGCTTTTTGATCTCAACCAATTTGAATCCTCCGCCTCGAGTCACTCAAGGAGGAGTTAAAACAAAAGTCTTTCTACTTGTGAATTATGTATGTGCTGATCTTACCCTGGTCTCTGCTGATTTATGTGAATAGGAGTCACGTACGGCGCCTTGAAGTTTCTATCCCCTTGTACGGAAGCTCTTATGAAAAAACTAATAACTGCTCACTTCGTCACAAAAAATCTGTCAAGCAGCTACATTTCACAGAAGGTCGCGCATTTGCGCATGTGTGTAATTCTCATTCACCAAGCACTCCCCACAACAAAGCACGCTCTCAATCAAGAACCGTTGAAGAAATCTAGCCTTACCGGTTTTGGAGTTGGCTCAGCCGCTGTCAGCGTGCCCTCATCCTGAAAAAACAGCTTACTTAGAAGATACCCGATCACTCTTCGAAAGCTGCGTCCGATTAATTAAGCAAGAACTGTGCTTTGAATGAAAGAAGATGAAAAAAGTTAAGCCTCACTGGTTTTGGCGTCGGTTCAGCCGCCGTCAGTGTACCCTCGTCCTGTAAAAAGTATGTCATCATAACAATTAGCGCGACTAATTTTCATGGTTGCGGATCAACTACTTTCACATCAGCTATGCGCTCAATTGTAAGATAATGATAAAAATAGCCATACTGGTTTCGGAGTGGGTTCAGCTGCCGTCAAGGTGCCTTCATCCTGGAAGAGATGCAATCAGAACAACGACTATCCTTACCATTCAGCAAGAAATGTTGACGTAATCAAGCCTTACTGGTTTCGGAGTGGGTTCAGCTGCCGTCAATGTGCCCTCGTCCTGAAGAAAGACTATTTATAGTGCACAACTCGCATAGCTGCGATTCTCTTTCATCTTAGTTGCGTGTGCCCGACAATACAGAAGAAGCATAGCATAATAGAAGATAACATTAAAATATTGCTCACTGGTTTCGGAGTCGGCTCAGCTGCTGTCAGAGTGCCTTCATCCTATAAACAGCACATCACCGTAACACAGACGACCTATCTTTTCAATAACCATTCCTCTACATCAGCTCAAACTATCCTTTTATACACATACATCCAAGGTATTTCATGTTAGATGTTTGTTATATGATGATAGAATTGAGCTATCCCTGAGCCTCATACGTTATAATGTTTTCTTCCACAATATTCAATGAGTACTCGATATGATTATTCATTGGTAAGCTTTCGCTTATTTGAGGACAAAGCAAAGCCTCAAATAAAACAAGCATACATATTACTTCAATTCCTTACAACAATCAAGCTGATCAATATTAACCAGACTGGAGACTGGGGCTCCCTCTTAACAATAAAGTCGTCAAGGTCTTAATACAACATAGTAAAAGCCTACATTCTGTTGACACTATCATATGCATTAACGCACCTACCCTGCAACCGACCCTCTAATGCAAACTAAAAGACGCCTAAGCATGCGACCATGAGTCGCAATAGCGGAGCGACATTCATTATAATTCGCGGACCGCATCTGCAACCAGCTCTGCATTGCCTCCATCAACTCGTCCCGTTCTTTATTTCGGGGATAACGCTTGATAGTGATCGCCGTGGCGGCAATTTCCTTCCAATGGGCTCTACCTTCGAACGCGTTGTAATCGCCGAGAGATCGAATGGTACAAGAAACCGATGTCAAAGAATATCCTTCTGCATTCTCGAAGTGCGCATCCACTTTACATGAAGGCTAACGTGATAAGAAACCTTATCGCTACGAAGGTACGGACATGCACAAGAGAATCAGAAGAGGTGGATCGGAGAATAGCGAAGATCTTGGAAGAGAACGGGTACACGACGATCGAGCCAAGAACATGGCGACCTTTCTTTGCTAGTGGAGGAGTACCATTGGTTTTACCATATATCAACGAAAGAATAGCAAAGGAAAAACGTGACCATCACAGCATCAAGTCGTCGCGTCTTCCAGTCAAGCTAATATTTCGGCCACCTGAAAATCTGAGAAGCTTGCTAACATCATCCCGTATCTATGAAGAGAAATGTGGCCGAAGTAACTGTTCCCGCATACTGCTACAAGAAAATAAAATCTGCAGCTACGTTGGACAGTTCTACTGGTCACATTGCGGAAGGATCTCACTCGCGAAAATATTTGCTGAAGAAACGAGCGACCTATATTGTATAGGGATAGGAACAACACATGCGTGCCCTGCAAACCGTCCTACCCCACAAGCTGGATTCTCGCGCAATCGCCACGCATTCAGCAACAGATCCTCCCCGCCGAAAAGTCACTGTTCTACACCCGCCTCGAAAGGAAATCCATTGGAAAGGAAATTGCTCGAGGCGATCGCTATCAAGCGGTTATTCCCCGAAATAAACAACAGGGACGAGCTGATGGAGGCAATGAGGCTGATTGCATAGCGGTCGCGATAAAGAAGTTCTGCGCTATGGTCACCCACGTCTTGATTCTTAGCGTCTTTAGCTTGCCATTGGAGGCCGTCGGGTAGGGCGTTTAATATATGATGGTGTCAACACAATGTAGGATTTACTTGTTGTATTACAGACTACAATGTTAGTTTATTTGAGGCCCGAAGAAGCTGGTACGCACATGCGAAAGCTTACCCCATGAAATTTTCATATCGAGTACTCGTTTGAGTATTGTAAGAAAACATAAATGCTTGTGCGCATAATCCTTCTACTCTATTATCGGTTAGGGCTAATCCAGTGGAATCTGAGAGCAATTTTCTCAATATCGTTCTAAAGAAATCAGAAAGAGTCAAGAATTGATTCTATGGGCCATCTATAATCCCCTCTCCTTATCAGCTACCACATGCCACCCATCCGGAAGATCTCGATCATGAACACGATTGCTCTCTGTGTTACAACACTGCGTTGGTTCCAGTCGGTCATTGACAAGAATGAAGCCTCCTCGGTGCAGATGGCCTCAACGTCATCTGTGATAACATGGTTAGGACTATTCGCGCGGGAAAGACCGCTCAAAGTAATGAATACATATTGCGCAATCGCTTTCTGCATAGACCCTGGCCTGGCGTTGCCGTCCTTTTATCCACTGCAGCTCATTTCATTTGGAAATTTTTTTTCTTGATCCAACATGTTGCCGTCACCGCGTAGAAGGTTAAGATCTGTTTTAATGGGGAACATTCTTATCATATGATATTGTGCTAGACCTTTTGGGGTGATTGTTGAAAAGTGGTATCGCCACATATAAAGCGTCTAACTTAGTGAAGCTATGCGGGATCGCATTGCCGTCTATTGTCAAATTTCTTCATGTGGTGAAAATCGTTTTGTCGGCTCATTGACTATCTTCAGGCGTATTTACACTCTTTCATTATCTTTTTGTTATGATTTTCGCACTGTATATGAGGGACTCTAAACTTTCTAGTCCTATCTGAGCTACCACTTGTAACATCCACCAACTCTTACAGGATGATACGGTGTGATTTTGCGACACGCGAAACAGATGCATGCATTATTATCACAACTCTTCATCAATTTGCTGGTCATATTGCCCCGCCGATTAATGATTCCTCCCTTATGTCGATCTAGCACATCTCATTAGTTCATCCCTTACAGCTGGATATCACTTCAGTGACTTTTCTTTCACTGTAGATTGTCACTGTGGAATTCCCGATCGTGCTTCCTTTAATAGCAGTAAACAAATGCCCGATGATTAGTGGGCGAAGTGCATGGAAGTTCACTCCGAAACTCTTAAAAATATTCAAAGCTCCCATTACTTGCGATCTTACACCTCCATAGATAGAAATATGGGTATGGATTCACAGATTGGAAATCAGCTGCAGGCGATAAGGATGGTCTTAAATTCGGAGAAGTTTGTATGGGTCGCGAAATATGAACACCTGACGTCTCCGGAGCAGTGTTCCTTAGAACTGGAACAAAGGCATTGAACAGGACATTGGCTATGTTTATGAGAGAGTTGTGACTCGAACGCATCGAAAGTGACAGGGATCAAAGGATGAGATCAAAGGGAAATGTAGCAGGTGTGTTGAGTGGAAAGCACAGGATGAAGGGATGACCTGCACGAGGCAGACGACTCGATGGTCAGCGTTACATGGCTCGTAGTCTGGGTCACTTCTTATGAGGACGCCCCATTCTCCAGGGAGATACACATAAACCCCTCATCATTTCTCATTTCTACGTTTTATTTACGTTTTCATTGAGAGTATGCAACAATCACATAGAGGATAAGCACCAGAATACGAATTGTTAACAACAATGCCGCTTACCGGTTTTGGAGTTGGTTCTGCCGCTGTCAGCGTACCCTCATCCTGCAACAGGAACGTGATTAGAGTAATGACAGGTATCACTCCTGCAGTTCTTTGGCGCTTTGGCTACGTGCATACAACACTCGCACTTTGAACCTCCCCGATGTATGTAAGAGCAAAAATGAAGCTCCCAGGGTTTTTCACCTCACAATCCACAAGCGGACCATTACCTTCGAGCAAAAGATGATAGCAATGAAAACGTCACATTGCTCTTCCATTTTTAATAGATCTACAAATGGATCAAATGGTGCAAAATAAGGCATGTGACAGAAATGCACACATACTCATCTGGATTCTACTGCGGAGCTATACTAGATATATATAAACCAGAAGTTGTTTGTGTGTGCGTCTGTCTGACCACCCAAAAACTGAAGACTACATAAACTGCTTCTGTTGGACGGATTCTAACTGGGATTGCTATAGGATGAGCCAATTTTCAGGGAGCTTAAGCAAGGTAACCTAAGCTATGCCCTCAATAACTGTTACGAGACACGGCGTAGCTCCCTATCTCGGGATAACCGTATATACCAAATTGTTGGTACCACGGCATTAGTTTATTCTGTGATTCCTCATCGCTAAGGGGTGTGCCGCATAGAAAATTTTGATGACTGCCTTCTAGGGGGGTATATACAAGAAGTGAAACGGTAAAGTGCTGTAATTCTCAAAACAATTTTTTTCGACCATTCGCCCGGCGAAGCCGATCCGACTGGCCCTCCACTCATGGAAAACTTCTTCAGTTGATCCATTGAGCTCCAAGATGAACTTCGCTCCCTCTACCTAGACTCAAATTTCGTAACTGTTTACGAGACACGGCGTAGCTCCCTATCTCGGGATAACCGTAGGGAGTATACCAAATTGTTGGTACCATCGGCATTAGTTTATTCTGTGATTCCTCATCGCTAAGCGGTGTGCAGCATAGAAAATTTTGATGACTGCCTTCTAGGGGGGGTATATACAAGAAGTGAAACGGTAAAAAGTGCTGTAATTCTCAAAACAATTTTTTCGACCATTCGCCCGGCGAAGCCGATCCGACTGGCCCTCCCCTCATGGAAAACTTCTCACAGGGACCCACTTCACACCCGGAAGGAGGATGGCGCATGGACTGGTCACAGCCACACAATGTACAGCATAGATGAGCAGCGAAGAATTCTGACTCGCACTTTTTGAACTTGGTGTCATTCTACCTTTATGTGCTTATCTCGTCATTAGCTGCTAGCATTCTTTCACAAGGAATGCCGCCGAAGAAGTATCTCTTGGTCATTTCGTTGGCCGCAACAGGCGATGACCGCGGTAATTCAAAAAAGCTTCGGGACGGTGACGCTGCCGAACTGGCAAAATGGGCCCTGCACGACTTAACTGACGACTGCTCCGGCAATTTCTGGGCTAAAGGATTGCAGTGTCATTATTGATTTCTTCCTCGGTTGTAAAGAGGGTTGTACTTTCTTCACACCCTTATTAAGTGTTTTGCTAGTTGAGGAGAAGTGAACTGAAGGAAGTCTGAAGCGTCTAGCTTGTTTTCAAAAAAATGTCGCTGAAATCATTAAGTATCTTACATCATCTAGGTATGTTCTTGGTCTTCAGTTTTCCCGTTTTAGACGAAACTACATCCCCTCTCGCTCGACATCATCACACGCGTGTAATACATTTGCGTATAGTGCAAAGGTCTTACCACTTTACCACTTTGATTGCACAACAATGGAACGTTACTTATCCCCCTATTTGTTGATACCACCTTCTGTCACCCACCATCGAGTCCCTATCTCCCTCTCTATATCTTCTGCTGGAATCAACGCCTAGCTGATGCTGTGTTCCGTGTTATGAATATAGTGACCTGACCTGCCATTCCAACTCCCCTTATCTGCTCTTATCAGCTGATATCACTCCCTGACCCACCAATAATGTTCCCGTCACAGCTCCTATATCATTCCTTGGAATCAACTTCCTACAGCTACTGGGACGGGCGCTATGAATTTCAGACACGCACTATCACGCACAGACACACAGAAATACTTAGCAAGTCGTAATAACGGTCAAGATCATTCGGCAAACACACTCAACTCACCGGTTTGGGTGTTGGCTCCGCCGCCGTTTTTGTTCCTTCATCCTAAAAATGAGAGAAAGTGCAGCGTTTTACATCATAGCAAGAATCTTTGCGATTGCGCACGCGTCAGTCTATATTTTCTCTATTAATGCTTTATTCCTGATATAAAGGCTCAAGGAAGAGATAATAGGAATTTTCAGTGGTGGTCTAAAATGCAGACAAATGGTACTATTGAGAAGGCGAAAAATAATCGCACCGGCGTGGGAGTTGGCAGAGCTGCAGTGACCGTTCCCTCATCCTGCAAAAAAGAGGCTGTTAAGCTATGGCTTATTTATTCTGGGAGTTGATATTCTCATGGAACCCTCTGGTTTGGAACCCAGAATAAATAAGTAAATAACTACGGCGGATTGGCATTTTTGAAGACCACTTACAAACCGTTTTCCAGATGTTTGGAAAACTAACTATATAAAATAAAAACTATAGTAAGCCGCCCACTTTGAATACGGCTTCTGTTAGTGACAAACCGAGAAGGTGCTCATTTTTGTTATAAGCGATTCGTAAGAATCGGCATGCCCCTGTTGTTACGGCGGTCACAACAAACCTCACCAATTTCATAGTCAGGAAGAAAACCCCATTTGGAATTTCAGATCGCACGAAATATTACAGAAGAACTCAACAGGCATTCACTTCATTCTTCCTGCTAAATAGTATAGTGCACAGACTGTTATGAACAAACATAAATAAAATAGTTGGTTAAAACGGAAGGATTGTGTTCTAAAAAGTTCGGTGTTCCACCAAACTCAACTTATGATTAGCAATTCATGTCTACAGGGGGGGGGGACCAAAAAAAAGACACTTTTCTTCCTTGACTTTCGAGGCGCTATAAGTTACACTTTATTAAATTCTGATCGGACATTTCTACCACCATATTAAAGAGCATATTAAATACTATCATGCTACTCCGCCACAATATTCTGAAGAAGCGCCATCAAGAGATTCTGCCACGCAACCGTGAGTCGGTACCTGAGTGCAGCGAGATCGTTGATTTCTCCGCCACTGTAGACCGCCCTATTGAACTCCGCCCAAACCACGTGATTCAGGTTCACCCAAACCTGTAGCAGCACAAGGTCTCCAAGAAGGTACGGGCGACCACATGTAGGGAGGATATTCTTCTCGAGTTACTTGATGTAACCGCCAGCGCTCACCTTCAGTCGGGGTCTACAAAGAAAATATCGGTCTTCCCATTCCAGGTACCCCGGTCCATACCATCAACCCGCGCCTTGGCGACTGTGGGTGAAGATGATGTCCTGGACCGTAGCGACGTGTTAAGCCCCTGCTCGATGTTGAAGTGTTCATTCCAGATCCGAGAACTGGTCTCCAGGTAGCTATCCATGATGGCTCCAACACTAGAAGTTTCGCAGAGGTGACATGAATTCCAAAGGTCTTCTCCAGTCAGGCTGCGACTGGAGATGACTTCATATTTTGGTGTACATGAAGGTGATGGGCGAGAGCCAGCTCCTGCTTATCGTGGAAGCAGGCTCTCGCCCCATCTTGGGTATCTTCCGCCCTGGTACTCGTATCCACGTCCTCTGTCTGGGCTGCGAAAACTTTGCTGATATGTGACTCGGTCGAAGTGTCTTTTTTTGCCCCTCCCCCTGTAGGAGCATGTCATACTGAAAATTCCTTTGTTGAGATGCTAATAGTAAGGGCTTCTTCAGAAAATGGTAAGCTTTACGCGAAATGGTCCCCAAATAGTGCTGGTAGAACCTATAGGCAGATAAATCTCATAAATGTGTACGGATGGAAACACCAATGGCATGCGCGGCGCCATTGATTGTCACTCTGAAGTTCCCTTTGCGGAACTGTTAGTTTCAAAGGGTCAGTGAGAACTAGCCCTTCTCTTGCGCTCTTCGAGAGGTTGTCTGTGACAAAGAGAAGTACTCGCGCTTATAACCCGAATGCCTTCTAGTTTGGTGGTCCGCAAGCGTTCCCTGATGCCAGAAAGCGTGGTTTGGTCCGGATATATACTATACTTGGGGATATAGTATACGTGGATTGCAGTAGGCATACGAACGTCGGAGAGTATCATTCTTTGTGATGAACAAACCTGGATAACTCTTCGTACCACACGTTTCTCTACGATTTCTCTCTCGACGGTTGCACGCATTCTTCCAGTCTTTCGTCTCTGCAAAATTCAAGACGCTCTTATGCACAACTTGCTACAATGCAAGACCATGCAGTTGTATGAATGTATTGAATGCAGTTGTATGAGTATGGGCAACATTTCTTAGTTATTTCGATATCAAAAGAAGTATGATGGTCTACGTTCAGTTTCAGTTAAGAGAAAAATTTGGAAAAAAATCGGAACTATGCATCTGACTGAATACTCGCGTAAAACGCAAGTAAAGAGTGCGCAAAATATAATAGGCTGGCATGGTTTTTATGTGCTTATTCTGTGATTATTTTGATGTACGGCTACGTCGCGGATTATTAATTAACACTCCATGGAAGCTCTTCCACTGCAGTACGCGAATCGTTCTCATAGTAAGTTATAGCAAGTTTTAGCGTCGTACATTCGTGAAAGCACGTGGGTTGTTGTCGCTTCCTGCGACGCAACAGGTCGCCGGCATCAGAACACCAACACTTAGAACAAGAAAAATTATGCAAGGAACTCAGTTCCCAAGGTTCGTTCTGATGTTGAGTGAAAGTGTTACATGATCATCAGTTGCGACAATTATGAAAACTACAGGTGAAGACTTATTAACCGCTGATACGAGCAACTGTGACAACACGACTTCCAGTCTCAACAATCAGCTCGAAGCACACCGTCTCAAAGGCAAGCTGAAGTTCTCAAAGGAGGCCGTGACCGTACCGGAGGACCACAGCGACCATTTCCTTCGACACCAATGGCATTCCCCCAAATATAGTTTGCTTACTGTTGTACCAAGATTATTTTCCCACGCGGCGCTTTTAGGTCATTTCCTTGTATTGGGTTTTCTTTGCTGCCGTGTGAGCACACATGAGCTAACTCAGGTAAATAAACAGGAATGATGTGCAGCAGTGCACAAAGATCATGAGACGCAGATTTCCTTTGTAAGGGTAGGAGCTATGTGTCATCAATAGGCGTTCTGATCTTATGTTCCCAGATGCCGAGTGGTCGATGGGCGGACACGAGGAGACGCGAGATGCGCTCACCACGGACGGCCGGACTCAACTTCTGCCTACAGCTACTTCTGTTCTAGACAGTTAGCCATTGTTGCTAGTAAAGGATTAGTATATCGAACTGTTGTGCACGCTTCACTCACTGGTAGCAGCGAGTGGAGCTGCCCCTGTGCAGCTTTCTTCCTTCTTCCCTCTTGCTTCGGTTTCCATTTGTATAGACTATTTCGTTGCTACTCCCCTCTATTCTACCCTCTTCTTCGCCCTACCTGGGCAGATCAAACAGTTCAGTCCGACCGCGGTTTTTACGCAACCGTTGCAGCCTATGCATGGCCTGGCCAGCCACTGCCTAGTGCGAGGATGTTGCCGCCGCCGTAGCCGCTCGCCGTCCATCGGATGATTCATTCGCATTCTTGCGTGGTCGTTCAAGCCACATCCCGACGCTAGCGAGATTTTCTTTCCGTTTTCTTCTTCCTACTTCTTCGACTCATTCGTGCACGTTAAATTTTTATCGGGACACATTGGTTGGCATAAGGGTGCTTTTAAAGGAAACCTTATCCCGCGGGTAAAGTCTAGAGCAGTGAAGCACCTCGTGTTTCTGCGGTTTTCGAGTAAACGACGTCGTCAAAAAGTAAGATGTTCGCTGTAAAGTAAAGTGAATGTTGGATTCGCCCTAGTATAAAATGAGAGGGATCACCAAAAGGCCCAATCTCCACTTTTCCTGCTTTCAGTTGCGTGGGCGCAAGTCAGTAATGCGCGCCTAGTGACGCCTTGTTTACATTCCTTACTGCTTTATCTCCTTGCTTATCATCCAATGAAACGTTTCGCAACAGCTTCGCTAATGTTTTCAAATTCTTTCGTTGTTTTCTATCTTCAAGTTTCTCAGAGCGTTAAATGTTTTTGATTGATTTTGTTCTCGAGGATATGCCTCACGAAGCAGGCTGGACTAGGGGTCGTCTTCTCGATTTTTGGGTGGCTGGTGCTGACTATACCATGACGATGCGCGTCGAGTCAGTTGTCTCCAGTGTTGACAGCAAACAACTGTCGGTACGCGCCGTTGGCTTCACCTGGAACCACGCAGGGCTCATGGAACTCATGGACACGTACGGGCGTAGCCTCGATGGCGACTAATCGCCGACGGCTATGTTCGCCTCGCCAAACTTACGAAATCGGCAAATCCGGCGAATGAAGCAGTCTCCCGTATGCTACACATAGTTTCTCGTGTGGAACCAGGCACCACAGGCCATCGAATCCTTGACATGGTCTACCATAACACAATAGCTTGTACGCCTGCATCCGCTCAGGACCCTGGTTCGGCAGACCCGTCGTCAGCACTTCCGGATACCTTCCGGCTCAAACAACGGTCTATTTCTCTCACGCATGATCAGCGCCTCGCGCTGCGACTCGGGATGACAGATCACCCGATCGCGGAAATACAAGCCGCTTTCGGCACAGGTAAAACGTTCCTTGGTGCTGTTATAGCGGGCCTTCCTCGTTCAACACAAAAAGGAACGCATCATAGTCACAGCCACCACCAACACCGCTGTTGCTCACTTCGCCTCCACTATGCTAGCAGTAGAGGAGTTCCGCTAGGTCCGTCTCTGAATCTGCGTTTCGCGACGAGTCCCCTTCCACTCCCGTCGACATCCATGAAGTACTCAAGTCTCTCGAAGAAAACTTTGCTGACTCCCTGAAACCACAAGAGCGTGACTCCTGTTCTCGCTTCCGCAAAGGACGACTGCTTTACGAGCAGTACGCCCGTGACCCCGACCGCACAATGAACATGACAGAATCGGAAATCGACGGAATATATATTGGCTGAAAAAGATGTCTCCGAGTGTGTCAAAAAAGTGGTTTCCACAATGTTCAGAGTCGGCCCACCAGATGTTCTCCTATTAACCACCGCTTCCCTGTTGAATACTACAGCTACGGGCGGCGTGTTCAAGACTCACCTTGCCGATCGGATGGTAATTATTATAGATGAGGCATCACAAGTTCCTGAACCTATTTTGACCTGTTTTGTTACGATGTTTCCAGATGCACGTCAGCTCTACATCGGAGATATTCACCAAATGCGGCCCTACGTTCAGTGCCCAAGAGAAGCCAATCCTGCACTTTTCGGGGCTCGCAGCGTCATATCTGTCCTAGGACATTCACCCGGCGTCCCGAAAACTGCAATGGTGACAACCTTTAGGGCCCACCCCGCCCTTAATGCCTTGCCGAACCTCCTGTCGTACGGCGGGACACTCATCAATGGAACAACGGTGAACGACCGTCGTCTACTCTTAGATCGGATCAGCTTCCCTAATCCTCACCTCCCCTTCGCTCTCATTGATGTCGAAGGAACCTCTGTTCGGGCTCCTAGTCGCTCGCACGCAAACGAAGAAGAGGCTACGATTTGTCTCTCCTTGATTCATCAGCTGCTACAGGTCGGCCTTTCGCCTAGTCAATTTTGCGTGGTAACCTTCTATCGAGAGCAATTCCGCCTACTGTTCGAGTTTGCATCCGACGTAACATCGAAGTTGCAACCGTAGACTCAATTCAGGGTCGTGAAACTGAAGCCGTCATACTCCTTACAACCCGTACCGATTTTCACCCCGAAGCCGCGACTTTCATCGACGACCCTCTTCGCCTGACCGTCGCGATTACGCGTTGCCGTCACGGACAATTTGTCCTGGGTCACGTTTCCACACTTCGTACCTTACCTCACTGGGGAGGCCTTGTTCGCTGGGCTGAGGGCGCGGGCGCTATTGTTCCCTCATCCCGACTACAGACCTTGTTCCGTGTCCATTAACCGCCACTTCTCCATAATCACTCGAAGCATCGCCTTTATCACTACACTCGCACCCGCCTCCAAAATACTACGTCCTTTTCGCACACACCGAGTCGCCGCACTCTCCTTCAACGATAACGGTAAGCGTTTTACTTGTCATCGTCCGGGACGGACTTTTTTGGATAGGGGAGGTGTAAGGGTAGGAGCTATGTGTCATCAATTAGGCGTCCTGATCTTATGTTCCCAGATGCCGAGTGGTCGATGGGCGGACACGAGAGAGACGCGAGATGCGCTCACCACGGACGGCCGGACTCAACTTCTGCCTACAGCTACTTCTGTTCTAGACAGTTAGCCATTGTTGCTAGTAAAGGATTAGTATATCGAACTGTTGTGCACGCTTCACTCACTCCTGACAACTAAGGTAAAACCTTGAGGGACGCTTGATGCTATTCTGGAACGCGGATACCAGTTAGCGAACTATTAGAATTCCGAGGCATGCCAGCAAATAGCTCCTGCTGGGGATCTCTAAGAGCGCCGCAGTGGAAGATTAGATGAAAAAATGAAAAGCCCATCGAAGTAAGTAACTGCGCTGGGTGTTTCGTTGTATTCAGAGGTTCAGAGGTTCGCACGATGACTTTTGACGTAATTTGTGAATTCCCAAAAGCTAGAGTGACACTTCGAGTACTCAGTAGAATTGAGCAGCCGTTCTTGAGTCAAGTCTGAAGGCTTGGTTGACAATCCATGAGGTGCCTGACACTTCATGGTGCTCATAACCGCATCCGTGGATTAAAATAGATGTGTACTATGGGCTTTTGCGATAACTCTTTCTTCTTCACGAGGTTGAAATGGGTACTTGGCTAGTAACTCTATTCCGGTATCAATCTAGAACGTTTATTATATCTGGACTTACACGTTTCCGAGGGCCTTCTCTTGCAGTCAAGGTGCCTTCGTCCTGCAGAGGAAACATTGTCAGTATCACCACGAAATCTAGTTGAGATGCTTCGCTCTCAATACGATTTGAAAGTGTGAAGGAGCAAGTTAAAACATAACACTGCGCACCCAGGGTGATATTTCCACGATAGGTTACATGAGACAACATCGTGAGGTTGTGACTAGTCTGTGGCAAGTAATTGTTATGCCTACAAATTGTTACACAGCAAAACATTCTGGTTAGAATGAAGGGCGGGCGTACTGCATACAAGATCAGAACGAAGTTTCATCGTTGATACCTCAAGACCTGCTGGCACCTTGCCTAGGTGGAGTGTATTCGCATCAACAAACACCCCTAATTTCTACTTTTCACGAATGCCGCTGCGCAGAGCAGCGCTCGATGGATGGGTCTAACTCAGAAGTGTAATAGAGTGTTCAAGAACTATGACTTACGGGTCTTGGAGTGGGCATAGCTGCCGTCTTAGTGCCTTCGTCCTGCAAATGAGTCGATTTCCGATTTCCGGAATTCGATTAGCAATAAAAGAATTACATAAACGAGGATCAAGTACACAAAAATTCAGTTTACAGCTAGGTGACTCAGCCCGTCAATGCCCTGTCCGGTGTACAGGCAGAAGAACAACAGTAGCAATAGCAACATTTTGGTGCAGTACTTAGGCTACAACACCATGGGGACACAACAGTGAGGAAAGGTGCCGTGAGAAGCACAATTCGCGCAAGCAGTATCGATGTGGTAGACTACGTTAAAGGGCTGCTTGAAGAAAGGCTGTGCGTGACAGCATTCGCATGGCAAACAGGATTATAAAGGCAACGTCGCCGCTATATTTGATACGCACGATTACCTGCATAGCATTATACATCCGTGACCGATTTTTAAAAATACCAGCTGCTTTATCCCACCGCATTACAACACCAGGAGTTGAGCTTTAACAACTTGTGCCGCGCTATATACACATGCAGCAACAGAATTAGTTAAGCGCATATTTACTTCAGCAGTCTGAGTTGGTGCAAGCTGCTGTCAGTGTGCCTTCGTCCTAAATGTATGTGGTTACAACAGTATGGAGGAGCATTAGTCAAACGTAAGACACGTAGCGATAATTCAGACTCACTGGTCTTGGAGTTGGCTCAGCAGCTGTCAATGTACCCTCATCCTATAAAAAGAACGTTATCAGAACAAAGACGAGATTTCGTCATTACGGTCTGTCTAGAACATCATCTAAGGCGTAGCGCTAAGCAAGAAAGACAGCGCTCAAGCGCTCAACATGGAAATTCAACGACAACTTGGCCTTACAGGTCTTGGAGTTGGCTCAGCTGCCGTCAATGTACCCGCATCCTATAAGCATATAGTTACAATCGCATCGCAGGAAGATCACTTGAACATAAGATGATGACGAAAACTTAGCCTTACAGGTCTTGGAGTCGGCTCAGCTGCTGTCAACGTGCCCTCGTCCTATAAGTGGAAGGTTACCAGAATAACGATCTACTTTCACTAGCACGAACTCTTTGCAACTTGGTTAGCGGCAATATGAAAGGACAATTAGCTAAACAATTGAGAAGTCAGCCTTACAGGTCTTGGAGTAGGAGCAGCTGCTGTCAGTGTTCCTTCATCCTGGAAGAAGAACGCTTCTGATACAGTCATTAGTTTCTATGCATCTCGGGTGGAGCTTGTTTATATAAGAAATATGGAGAAAAGGTTTGTTGAAAACTAAGAGAAATTTTGGCTTACTGGTCTCGGGGTCGGCTCGGCTGCTGTCAATGTTCCTTCATCCTGAAAGCAGGACACCTTCAACGCAGTCACTATTCCTTCTACGCATCCCTGCTAGAGTGTTCGCGCGGTGTGGAGGAAAGGCTAGTTATAAGTTAAAAGAAACTTAGGCTCACTGGTCTCGGGGTCGGCTCGGCTGCTGTCAGCGTGCCTTCGTCCTGTAAGAAAAACCATCACAGTGCAATAGTCAACTATTAGTGACATGGCTTGGCTACAATTTGATAGATGCGCGCAACAGAATTGAGCAAAAATTAACAAATTATAGA